CATTGTGCAGGCTTGAGCTAGGGCGAGTCCGATTCGACCTCACCCTGTCCTTTTGTCCTTCATTTATTTATTTTTAATTTTTTTATCTGATATGGCCCGGCCCAGCCCGGCCCGGCCTTAATAGCGCCTGGACTGGGCCCGGGCAGTTGCGCCTAAAGCAAAGCAACCTCACGGCTCTTCGCTTTACCATGAAAGTACCCCTATCAACTCCCCACCGCCAGCGGCAGCGGCAGTGGCAGTGGCAGTGGCAGTTGCTGTGGCAGTGGATGAAGAAGAAAAAAGCGTTTGCTTCTCCACTTGCTTTGGTGTACGGAGAATAATGCCCCTCCATCGTGCACCGTTTGGGAGATTTTTTGTTTTGCCATTAAGACACAGTTTCATCAAGAAATTGCCCTTTCAAACTTGATAAATATCGTATACGGCCCTTCTGGGTTAAAGTTTCAAAAGCTTCTCGCTACCGAACACGCAGCGTTGAGGTGAAGAAGCAAATATCATCTTCACTTCCCCATGTTTAACCAATGCGCTCTATTTCCTCTACTCCACCCTTTCTTTCTTGAAATATATATATCAAATAAGGCTCCTTGCCTTCGGTATAAGGATATCATAATTGCCTTTGACTATTACCTACAAAACTGTGTACAAGGTAAGTCTTTAACGAAGCTCAAAGTTTAAAGTAAAATTTTTCAAACATTGTCGGGCCTTTTTAGAATATAATAAACAAAATCGCATATGACTATTTGTATTTGGTACAAAGATATCATAACTACCCTCGACTATTAATTTAAAAGTTGAAACGGAGGTATGTCTTTAACCAAGCTTAAAGTTTAAAGTAAAATTTTTCGTTTTGTGATACAGCTAGACCTTTTTGGAATGTAGCAAAAACTGGATATCAAAAAATGCTATTTGACTTTAGTATATGAAATTATAATTACCAATGACTATTAGTTTCAAAATTTAGTACAAGAATATCATAATTACTATTGACTATTAGCTTCAAAATTGCGTAGGAAGAGATACGTCTTTAACCAAGCTCAAAGTCTAAAGTAACGTTTTTCCAACATTATGATACGACCAAGCTTTCTTGGAATGCAATGAATAGAAGTGCATATCATATAAGGCTACTTTTGCCTTTGGTATAAAGATATCATAATTGAAAAATTGTTTCATGTGGGCTGAACTGCATTTTTATGATATGTTGTTCGAGAGGTATAAAGCATTCAACTTAAAGATAGATGCAAATATGTGGTCCATTTAAAAACAAGTGTAACTATTCAAATGTTTTTTTGATATAATAATTATTTTTAGTTTTCAATTATTTTTGTTCATATTCATGATCTCCATATTAAAGATTATATCTTCTTTAAAAATTAAAATCAAATTATATTTAAAAAATATATTTATTATCAAACCCGCATTTCTACATGGCCACATAAAAACCGTGTCCATTATAATTACCCTAAATGTTAGCTCTAAAATTGTGTAAGAGGTACATCTTTGACCAAGCTCAAAGTACTAAAGTAATATTTTTCAAACATTGTCTTACAATTCAAACAATTGGATACAACATATGATAATTGAGGCTGATTATTACCTTTTTTATACCAAAGCTAACTGATTATATAGTATCATCATCATCATTATATTATTACGTAGATAGTGATCATTTTTCTTTTTTTCTTTTAAAAGCTATTGCGATTAACACGTTTGTTTGTGGTTTTACTTATCCTTAATCATCAGAAAATAAGATAATTATCTTTCATCCTAATGATGATGATTTGAAAAAAATCATAGTATGCAGCATCATCATTATCAGCTCGTACGATAGATGGTGGTGGACAGAGGAGATTTCACCATTCTTGGGGTGGCAATAGGTCGGGTTCGGGTTTGGCTGGACTCAAACGATTGGACTCGACCCAAAAATAAAATATATGTATATTTAAATATATTTAATATAATAATATATACATGTATTATTTAAATATTATAATTAAAAAATATTATTTTATTTATTTAAATATTATTAAAAAATTATATATTAAATATTATTTAAATAATAATACTATTTAAGTGGGTCCCAAACCCAAATATTGTTTTGGGCCAATATTTTGACCGGGATCCGACCCGTTGGTCCAATTTTCGAACCCATACCTAAGTCAGGTCCAGTTGTTGGGTCCGGGTCCATTGCCACCCCTACCATTCCAGTTGTATGTTGTTTTAGTAACCCACTCTCTTTCCAATGCCATTCATCAAAATTATGAACACCATTGATATGTAGGAGTAAGGACCATGGTAAAAACGAAAGTCATTTAGCGGTGGAGATGGACCATTCCTTTGTTTGAATACAGATGGTTGGGATGAACAAGTTCTTTTTATACGCATGTGGCATCCTATAGAGTGTACACATGCTGGAGTAGAAGAGAGGTTCATCCATGTGTCTTAGCCATCATCTAATGGATGGGTTTCTATGACTAGTTGACTCATATGTGCACATGCGTTCCCTCTCTAAAGTTCATTTTAAAAATGAATTTTTTATCCAAATTTTCAGAGATTTATGATGTAGACAAAGATGATGATGAATTTTTTTAAAAAAAGAAAAACAAAAAAAATTAAAAATTAAAAATGTAGTCTTCTGGGAAATTTTTTTTTACACCATCCATATATAATTTTAGTCCGTGCCCTTTATAAACCGTCCATCTTAATGATGGATGTTCCCTTGCACCCACTGACCCACATAAAACTTTTCGTAATTTAGTTATATCAAGTCCTTTCTTATGTTTTGCGTTTTTTTTTCAAAGTTTGACCTCGTTTGGGTTTTATTTTTTTTGGAAGTTTATCAACAAACATCCAAGACAAGCTATTTAAATCTGATCTTGATTTAATTGCTAAGATCTCATCAAATAACATTTAATAATTAATTAGAATAATTGGTATTTTATAGATTTTCCTAATAATGGCCAAATGTCATGTGTCTTTGTATATAATTTGATTTTAATTTTTAGAGAATATATAATTTTTAATATGGAGATCATGAATATGAAAAAATAAATAAATTTTGAAAACTAAAAATTATAATTATCTAAAAAAAACATTTCAATGATTAGTTACAATTGCTTTTAGATGAACCAAATGGATACTTTTTACCTTTGAACAGCATATTGAAGAAATATGCTCCAACTTTTTACCTCTGGACCGCATATTGTAGAAATATGCTCCAGCCCGCATGAAACAAATACTCCTGACCAGTGTTTAAAAAAACACCGAGTCGAATCGGACTCGCCTGGTTCGACTCGGGAATCGCCATGGACGGATCGAATCGGCGAAAAAAACGGGAATCGTCCGGTTCTAGAGAGAACCGGACGATTCTGCACAGTGACTCGCCGATTCACTGTACGGAATCGGCGAAGTCCCGTACGGAATTTTTATTTTATTTTTTTTATTTATTTATTTTTTTTGTGTAATCCATGATAGATTTTTTTGTAATACTTGATCGATTCTTTTGTAATCCATGATCGAATTGTTTTTTTTTTTTTTTTTTTTTGTAATCCATGATCGAAATTTTTTTTTTTTGTAACCCATGATAGAATTTTTTGTAATCCATGATCGAATTTTGTGTTTTTTGTTTTTTTTTTTGTAACCCATGATAGAATTTTTTGTAATCCATGATCGAATGTTTTGTAATCCATGATCGAAATGTTTGTTTTTTTTTGTAATCCATGATCGAAATGTTTGTTTTTTTATTTGTAATCCATGATCGGATTTTTTGTTTTTTGTTTTTTTTGTAACCCATGATAGAGTTTTTTGTAATCCATGATTGAATTTTTTGTAATCCATGATCGAATTGTTTTTTTCTTTTTTTGTAATCCACGATCGAATTTTTTGTTTTTTTTTGTTTGTTTTTTTTTGTAATCCATGATCGAATTTTATGTAATCCGTGATCGAATTTTATATAATCCATGATCGAATTTTTTGTAATCCATGATTGAATTTTTTGAAAGTTTGTGATTTTTTTTTTTTAATCCATGATCGAATATTTTTTTATAATCCACGATAGAATTTTTTGAAAATTTGTGATTTTTTTTTAATCCATGATCGAATTTTTTTTTGTAATCCATGATAGAATTTTTTGAAAATTTGTGATTTTTTTTTTTAATCCATGATCGATTTTTTTGAAAATTTGTTTTTTTTTTTTTAATCCATATTATTCAAAGAGAAAATGAGAGAGATGATGATTCTGAGGCCACCCTATCGCAGCCATATTATTCACATATCGAGTCCCAACAGCAACAGTGTAGGGATGAGTACGACAGTGCAGGTGAGCATGAAGGATGGACAATCTTTGGGGAGTTTAGATTGGGAACACAATAAAACACCAACACTCAGGGATTTGGGAATAGTCAGACGCATGCTAATATCGATGATTCGTTTTTAGATCGAATCAATGAATTATTAAACGAATTCAATCAATGGCACCAGCGTGACCAAGAAGAACAATAACGTCGTCTATCATTTTATTTTTAGATCATATGTTACTAATTTTATGCTTTATTGTAGTCCATGTATGTTGATATACTTATTCCATGATAATTCTATGTTTGTCCTTTTGTGTGATGTAAATTAAATGCTGAATGGCGGTTCATACAGGGAAAGAACATATCAATATTGGCATATTCATTCAAAAACATGAAAATTCTTAAGGAGTACCTTCATTTCTTATTGAATTCCTAAAAAACAATATTTATTATGAATTTTAATAATTTTTTCGATTTTTTTTTAAGCTTTATTATGACTTATTCACCCGATTTCCGATCTCAATATCAGATCCGGATGGATTTTTGGGAAACCCATCCGGATCACCCATCCGTTTTTTAAACCAGTGCTCCTGACAAAAAGGCAAAGGATGCGAAGGCCAATGTTGAGACTTCGTGAGATATGGGGGGTAGTCTCTTAGGCTTCTGCTGGTTGGAAGCTGGGACCTTTTCATGGAGCTGGGCTACAAATAAGTGGAAGATCCTAGAGAGACAGACACCAGCTTTTAGAGAGAGAGGAGGGGTGCTCTCTCTCCTCTAGAGAGAGATTGAGAGAGCAATGGGCGCGGAAGAGTTGGCGAGCGTGGTGGTGGCGGAGAAGGAGGCTCCTCCTCCTCCACCACTTGTGATCGGACTCCAGCCGTCTGCCCTTGTCGACCATGTCGCCAGAGTCGATTGGGCTCTTCTCCATTCCATTCCAGGAGAGAGAGGAGGTTCCCAACAGGTACCTCCTCTCTCTCTGCACAAATTCACAGTTGTCATTCTCTTGATTTTTTTTCCCTTCCTGCCAATGTGTTGTTGATTTTAATTCTTATTATTCCTTTTGCTAAATAACCACTTGTTTGGTTTTTGTAGAGAGAGATGCTCACCTGTTAATTTTACTGGCTTAGTACCGTTATTGGCATTGTTGTTTTCTTTTTGTTGGCTTCTTCTGTGCTGCATTAAATGGTCGCGGTTGCTACCAGAATGTGATAGCCCATTGTTGCCTGATATTATAACCATCAATGGAAATTTGTTATGAGTTTGATCCTGTGTTCTTTATACACTCCTTAGAGTTCTGAGATTTAGTAGCAGTGGGTTTTCAAAGACCGACATCTTTTTATTTCATTTTGAATTCTCGTCAGTTGCACTGGGTTTATCAAACACCAAAATCTTTTTGTTTCATTTTGAATGCCTGATTCTCTGAAAACCAACACGGTTTTCTTAAGCATAAAAGATGAAAGTGGTATACTATAATCACCCGTATAGCGTCGTTCCCGTACTCTGTCATAATCCCCATGTTCTTATATGCTCAGATAATTTGGTAGGAATTCAATTTGAGAAAAGGTTTGCCGAATGGGCAACTCTAAAATGGTTGATAAAATGGATGGACATAGGATTAGAGTCTTTTCGTTAGTCTTGCTTATCACAGGTTGCTTGTCTTTCTTCTCCTAAAGTCTTTGTCTTGGACTATTTGGAAATGAGTTTAGGACCGTTATTTTCCTCCATTTGTGCGCTTTTAATAGCACAGCTCATTTGTGTCCGGTGCTTTTGGGGCCATCTTGTGTAGAAAACACTGCCCAATAGAGGGTTTTTCGTAATTATTGGAGGAAAAGGAACCTATTTTTCCCTATTGCATATAGTAGAAAGCAAAAGCACACAAACATAGTCTAAAGTTGAGACTGGGAGAGGCCATGAATTTTCCTGAAAATCATATTTTGGCTACCCAAGCTCTATTATGTTATCGTTTTATTAGTTGTTGGTACTAGGGAAGATCCTTATTTTGGATCGCTTTAGGTGATGCCCAAGCATTTGTTGAATGTGTAGGAGGCAGAGGAAATTGTATACTGCCTACTCATACTTTCTTTATTGTGGAATACACTCTTGCAAGCACAATTTGGGAGATTTTGTCTTCTTTGATGTAGGTTGGTAATGCCTCAACAAATGGCAGATATCATTTTTCATTTATTTGAGGCCATTGTATGTTAGAGACAGTTTATAAAAAGGCATTTCCCTCATCGTATTTCAAGACATTTGGGTTTTGGAAAGAAAGAAACAATGGGATCTTCAATATCAACTTTATCAATTGCCTGAGACTTAAAGGAAGTATATGGGGACTTAAGTTTAATAAGACATCGCCTCAGTAGGAGACTCGTGATCTTTGTGCCTCACTAGCATAGATGATGCTACGGAGGCCAGAAAACAAGGGTCTAACTGTTTTCTTCGTTTACTGTTTACCTTTGTTTTCCCCTAGGCCATCTCATTGTGGACGATGATTTTCCATCTACATCATTAGGTAGGCTCATAGAAACAATACCTCCGAGATTACTTAATGTCATGGATGAGTTTTCCAAGAGAGGAGAAATTGTTTTATCTCCTATTTCTATATGCTCAAACAAGCCGATGGCGAGACCTTTTTTTCCCTTACTAGTTTTCTTCACTCTTCTTTCTCTCCATCCAGTTCTTTCTCCCTATTTTTCTGTTAGTTTATCTTTTTTTCTTCTGCATTTTCTTCTACTGATCCTCTCATGCAACTTGAGAGGTAAACTGTTGCCTGCATAAAAAACAGGATAATTAATTTTCTATTTTGTGCAAATTTGGTGAAACATGATACAATCGTCATATGCATGCCAGTCATTTCGTTTGAACTTTGTTGAAATTTTAAAGCTAGATCTTTACAAGAAGGTGGTCTGGAAAAGTTTCTTGTGGTTGAAAATTTTTTTGTTGTTCAATAGGTTGGGTTTGATGACTTGAAGCACATATTGAATGAAGTGAATTCCCATATTCTCCCATCACCTGAAGATCTTTCCCCAGTAAGGACAATGGCTGGAGGTAGTGTTGCAAACACTATTCGAGGTTTGGCTGCTGGCCTTGGGATCTCATGTGGGATAGTTGGGGCTTGTGGTGATGATGAACAAGGATGCATGTTTGTCCATAACATGAGCTCTAATGGGGTGAGCATCTCCAGATTGAGAGTGAAGAAAGGGCCTACAGGGCAGGTGAACTGATAGCAGCATATTTGTTTGAAGATTTGTTTGATGTGTGTGCGTTTGTGCAGGTGTGCGAGTGTGTGTGTGTGAGAGAGAGAGAGAGGGAGAGAGAGAGAGAGAGAGGAAGGGGGGAGGGGGGGGGGTTTATTATCCCAAGATGCATGGGGTATCACTGATTGATTGAATTGATGACAGTGTGTATGCCTAGTTGATGCCTTAGGAAATCGGACCATGCGCCCATGTCTTTCTACTGCAGTTAAGCTTCAGGTAAGCAATCCTGTGGTTGACTAATATATACTGAAACAGTTTTGAATGCCATGCGCCCATGTCTTTCTACTGCAGTTAAGCTTCAGGTAAGCAATCCTGTGGTTGACTAATATATACTGAAACAGTTTTGAATGATTAATCCGATATTGCCAAATAGTTAAAAAAATCTTATTGTTGCAGGCTGATGAGTTAAGCCAAGAAGATTTTAGAGGTTCAAAGGTATAATGACCTTTCTGCTTCTAAGTCTTAAAAACCATCTGAACGTTATGGCTTTGCTTTTGCCCTTTTTTCAGGCATAGAAATTCTCTCGAGTCTCTGTAAAATTACTTCTTGTGTGTTCTGGGAATACATTAAAAGAGATACCTTTATAACAAGAAATACCTTTATTTATCCCAAACATATCAATTAGAAAATCACAAACTGATCATGTTTTCTCTCACTAGGTTAGAGCCAGGCTCAACACAACAAGCTTTCTTGGTTTTTACCTAATTTGCATCTAAAGTGATCAACAAATGTCTTCATTAATTCTATGTTCGCTGATATCAGTAATTCTGTACAGTGGTTGGCACTTAGATATGGTTACTACAACTTGGAATTGATACGAGCAGCCATTAGGTTGGCTAAGCAAGAAGGAACTGCTGTCTCCCTGGATTTGGCCAGTTTTGAGGTTTAACACTGAAAATATTCTTTTCATGTCACGTTCTTTTTGAGTAATCTAATTAGAACAATGAAAAGTTAAGAGGTTGTGGGTAGCCTATCTTTTGATGCTTGTACATTTTCTTTACTTAATACAATCTTTAACAATCTCATCGGAAAAATAAAAAAGAAAACTCAAGAGAAACCAGAACAGAATTTTCTCTCAATTACATAGATTCGGTCAAGTAATAGATTAGAGGTTTTATCTTTCTCTAAAAAATAGATTAGAGGTTTTATTTGGCAGAATTTGATTATTTCATTTTTTTACAGATGGTCAGAAATTTCAGGTCACACCTTCTAGAAATATTGAAGAGTGGGCAAATTGATCTTTGCTTTGCCAATGAGGATGAAGCGAGAGAATTGATGAGGTAAACTGGCCTGATATCTGTCATGCTTCATTTCCAATTTTTAATTGGGTGAGAGAAAGTACACATAAGCTTAATTTGCATACATGCATGAAAAATATATTTTGTATTTGAATTGTTCTAGAGGAGAGCCCAATTCTGATCCTGAGTCTGCCTTGGGTTTTCTGTCTCGGCACTGCAAGTGGGCTGTAGTGACGCTTGGCTCGAAAGGCTCTATCGCCAAACATGGCAAAGAGGTTTGTATGATCCTCTCTTGCTTGGATTCTATTCTTTTAATTGTTTGAATGATGATAATGGTGGTGGTGGTGGTTATTATTATTGTTATGGTTATTTTATGATTTTGAGCTGTAGGTCAAATGGTGTTAGTTGTTCTGTGATAAAACTACCTTGTTGTCTTCAAGTAATCTTGATTATTCCAGTAACTAAGGATATGTTTGAATTCTCTTCATTCCCTTCTGTGGGCAAATGATCACTTGTGCCAACATGTGCAATTTGTGTCTTTTTCCCGCCTTTGAACTTGTGGTATTAGCTAAGACTTTAAAGAAGATCTCTCGTGTGACGGGATCTACTTCATATGTTTGCTTATTTATGTTGCATGCTTCTTCACCATCTTTTGTCTTTTGAAGCATGTGCAACTTTGTTCTTATTCCTTTTTGTGCGTTCTTTTCTACTTATTGATATTTAATTCTTTTAAATGGATCACACATTACTAGAGAGAGTGTTTTCATGTTTCAGATTGTTCGGGTCCCAGCTATAGGAGAAGCACGAGCCATTGATGCCACTGGTGCGGGCGATCTGTTTGCCAGTGGCTTCTTATATGGCATGATTCGAGGTCTCTCATTGGAAGATTGCTGCAAAGTGGGATCTTGCAGTGGGGGCTCCGTGATTCGAGCTCTTGGTGGTGAGGTGAGACTTGAGAATTGGCAATGGATGTATAAAGAGTTGCTTGCCCAAGGCCTTCCTTTGCCTGATCTCACCGATGATTCAACCATTCTCACCAAATCTGAGAAGATGACAACCTAGAGAGAGAGAGAGAGAGAGAGAGAGATTGCATTTTGGGGGACTTGCTGGAATTCAGCATTGGTAACCACGAGGCCATTACATTGGTTAAGAAGGATGCTGGTGAAAGCTTGGATTTCGATGGATAGGTCCTGTGAAGGTGCAGAGGATCATGCTCACAGCATGCTTATTGCATTCTCTAGTGCAGATTAACATATTTAATGAATGAGGGAATGAATTTAAACAAACTGTAATTCTTCCATACTTGGATTGCAATTTTGCTGGAGGCGACTTTACATGCATATAATGCCTTTTACTTGCTTTATAGCGCTCACTGGGTAATGTCTTACTTAAGAGCACGTATATCTCCCTCGGGAGCATGGCTTACTTCTACTTTCTCGGTCAGATGAACCACTGGTGATGATTTTTCAATCTGACCTTGTACTCAATAAGAAACGCACCGCACCATAAGAAACGCACTACAACATGTACTCAATGTTAAAAAAACGCATCGGTACTCAATGTTAAAAAAAAATGGATTCGGTCGTCTATGGACAGTTACTAACTATTCCTTTACAATAAGACTTAAATGAATAACTGAATATATTAAGACATTTTAAGATTTTAGTTTCACTTTCTCATAAGATTTAACCCATTAAGATATCATATAATCAATTATTTATCAAGTAAACTAAAAGAAAAAAATAGAACATCAAAAACTGAATCAATTATTCATAAAAGAATAAGATATATGCTCAATTTCATTGTCCAAGTAAGAAAAAAAATCAATAAAACATCAAAAAAATCAATCTTTTTAACACGTAAATAAATCATAAAAGAAAAAAAAAAAAACACATGATTCATAGCATAATATGTTGTAGCAATATAAATCATTATTTCAAATATGGTAATACTTTAATAATATCAAAATAAAATCGATGTCGGTGCAAACTTCTTTTCGTCAAAAGTTTTCAAAATCAACTATTAGAAGTTTTAAATCTATCTACGAACTATTGCTTTCGTTTTGGGAAGAAATCTAAAAAATAAAATATTCATCAATCTTTCGATAAATTACAAAAGAGTAGTTTTTTAGAGTTTTTTTCATCTTAAATGCCACATATTTTCTATTGGGGATATAGAATATCCCTTAAAAAGGGGAAAAAAATTACATATTTTACATTTTTTTTTCCTCCACCCGCAAATTTTCATGGGGTGGTACCTAGGCGGTCGTTAAGACAAAAGCACCTAGACAGCATCTTGACTGCTTAGGCGGGTGCCCAAAAACAAAAACGTATAATGTGCCCCGCCTGTGCCTAAGCGGTAAGGCGGTCGAATTTTCAAAACCAGATTTAGCAAGAGTTCAACCATTGAAAGGAAGAATAGAAAAACTCATTGATACTCTCTACAAGGTTTGAAGAGAATGTCCCGCTCTATTCCGATGGAGGAAATATTTGTTTCTTCTCTATACAAGCACTGATAAACAACACATGCGAACTAGTAAAAGCTGGTCAGGGTTGAAGAAGAGAGAGAGAGAGATCGAGCTCAACATATGCAAGCCAGTTAAGGTTGGTTAGGGCCCAAAAAGAGAGAGAGAGGGGGTACGAGGGGGTAGGGCTTATCAGGGAAGAGAGAATGGTTACTCTGCAAGGTTTTTTTAGATAAGCTTGAGAGAGAGAGGACGATGTATGAAGTAGAGGGAGAAGGGTTTTTTTAAGCAACGTACTGCAATTTTTTGGACGAGTCAATGGATTACCTGTCAAGGGCATAACGGATTTTCTAGCCCCGACTGCGTAATGTATTTCACACTTTTAGGGAAATCTTGTCTAACTTGTTTTTATTTTTTAACAAGAAAATTACATATATATTCGTTATACATTACGTTATTACGGAACTATCGAATAGTTTCCGTTATTACATGTTTGTCTGTTTTTTTATGTCATAACGAAATTTTTAAAAAAAGACCAGTTTACCTTTTTTTTGTTGTTAAACAACTGAATTCAAAGGATTTTCGGTTGTTCAACAACTGAAAATGGGTTTGCGTTATTACGCCAAGTGGTGTACGCTCGAGCTTCCACTAAAGGTTTTCGGATGTTCAAAAACTGAAATTAGCTATTTTCGATTGTTGAACAATCGAAATTAGACCATTTTCGGTTGTTGAACAACCGAAAATTAGCTTGACTTGTTTAAACTCTAGAGTTCAGTTTTTGGCGCCCCGACCGGTGCATTGTCTTATCTATGAATTTTTTTCACACTCTCTCTTACATTTCTCACAAGCTTACCTGTTTTTTACATATGGATTAAGTTTTTTGACAGATTATAACTACATTTGATGGATCTTGAAAGCATTTGATAGATTTGAAATTTGTAGTGAAGGTACGTATAAACTGATTTATTGTTTGATTTTAGAAGTTAATATTGTATAACATTATGATTTAGGGTTTCATTCTTGAGTAAAAGAGGGCGATTTAGTTTTCATTTGATGGATTTCACAGTTCCATAAGTCACAGTTTGTTTGAGTAATATTTGAGGTTTTTCGGAAGTGCCAATTTTGGGGGTTTTTAAGAACTATAAATTTTGGGTTTTTTTTAGAACTTGAATTTAATATGAGTTATTGAGTTATGTTTATTTTGTATTTATTATTTAAGAATTTAAAAATTTAGGTTATTGAGAACTACAAATTTAGAGGTTTTATCATAACTCAAATTTTTTACAAGAGGTTGTATTCAGTTGATTACGGTTTTTTAGTGACCGTGAGGTATTTCATAGAACTGTGATTGAATGCTTTGTTTGTGTTGCTTTGTTTTGAATGCTAGGCAGATTCTACATTATATTGTATTGTGTATTAACTTTGACACTCTTAGATAGTTTTAAGTAAAAATTTGTGATATCATAGGAAATAGTTAATTTATCTTGTTGATAGTTTGAGTAGCTTAAAGATGAAATTTTGTACTAGATTTATTATTGAAGAACATATTTACCTTGAACATTTTGCAAATGCTTGTGCTTTTAGGAGTACATAGTTAATAAATAATTTTATGCATACATGCTTCAATATTTTGGATAGAATAATTCGTGAGTAGATTTATTTGAGATGTCATTCGATATGTAAATTTGTGATCACCTATTTGGAGGATAAATTAGTAGCTTAGGATTGTTTTATTGATTGTATATGCAAATACATGATGAGTTATTGGTGTCTCGAAATTCATTCCTTAGGATTATCATGTTCTTTTCATATAGTAGTATTTGTATTAGAACCTATAAGTTGAGATGAAAAGTAGTAATTGTATTAGAACATATTCATATTCATTTGTTATTCAACTAAGTTTTGCATATATAATTTTATGATTAACATGGTGACCATATGGGGTTGCAGTGCATATGAATCGTGTACATCCTGATGGAGGATACCCAGGAAGTCTTTAGGACCCTAGTTTGCTGCAACTTCATCCAGAACATGCATCATATTTCATATGGGAATGACAAATATATGCATATATTTATCTGCCCTTTCTATTAGTTTGTTATTTTTCAAAAACTTGTAGTTTGGTTTAAACGTCATATGAGAAGTACATGTATATATATTGAGACTCATATGTTATGTATTTGTTGTATTCCAGGAGAAACAAGAAATTAGAATTGATGAAAAGACTTTTCAATTAAATGATTGGTATCCAATAGACGAGCAAATGCAATTAGTGAACGCGTCTGGGTTGGGTACGCTATCTATTATTCGGCTAAGCCGAATTGATCATCCTTTGGTCTCAGCCAATGAGAGAGGTGGTGTTCTGAGACCAATAAATTTCATTATAACATTCAAATTGGTGGGATGACACCAACTCTAATTGATGTGTATGAGATATTAGGACTGACTGTGGATGGCGAGCCTATTACATGCCATCCTATTAGTGACCCACGAGAGTATGTAGAAGACAATTTGGGTATAGTCCTTGATGGTAACCTGACAATCCTGAAGCATACATGGTTGAAGGTCAATTTTAGGGAATTACCACCTGATGCAACCCCTGTCAAAGTTGTTAGATATACTCGAGCATATCTGCTCTTCCTCGTTAGCGTCACTATTTTCGCTGATGCTTCAATTTCAAAGGTACTTGTAATTCTTTGAAGATATTAAAGAAGCCGACAGATATGCTTGGGGTACTGCAGCCCTTGCATTTCTTTATCACTCACTTGGAAAAGCTTGTACTTTCAAGCGAATACATTTAGTGGTTCAGCCACTCTGATGCAGGTAAATTATTTTGTATATGACATAAGAGCAATAGTTTAGACTGCTTTCCAAAAATATTTATTATTTATCATATTTTGATATAATGCAGTGCTGGTCGTATGAGCATATTATGCATATGAGGCCCATTCCGCATAGTATCTCTCCAAATATGTCTAAAGCAAAAAAATGGGAGCCGCTAAAGAATTATTATGGCAATCCACATAACCTGATGCCTCCCATTATACAAGAATTGGATAACATCCAACCTAATGAGGTTAGTGTGTACTTTGATATTGATTAGTTTCAATCGTATTTAAGTATTTGTAATTTTTTTAGTGACTGACTGTCGTATGTGTGATTTCATATCATATAACAGGTAATATGAAATCCCTATTTCAAGCCCGATGAGGCCATTTCAGATGATAGACAGTTGACATTTGAAACTGTCATGTGCATAACGACGCTCATATTTGACGATATTTCCGAACCATACATGTCAGATCGTGTTTGTCGGCAATTTGGAGCTAAACAAGGCATTCCAGAAAATCCCTAATCTGTTGGTGAGAGGTCTAGCAGACAAGGTGGACATTGAGAATGACGAACTGTGAATGTAGACAAAATCCATCACTGGTTGACTCGTCATGACCACATGATGCCAGATATTGAAGTCGATACTGCCAATGAGTTGCTCTCAGATGAGTACAAGCTCTGGTACAACCTAATGTCCTATCCGATAATACATAATGTCGCTCACCCACCCAAAGACATATTGCAACCTCATAACTAGGAAGAAGAAGATGTTGTTCCTACTCATGAACCACAGTATATAATGAGACCTCGAGGTTTTGAGGATCATTTGGTATGTTTATATTGACCTACAAAATGTTTTAGTCTTGTACTTAGTTATTAGTTCCATGAAATTGTTTAAATATATTAATTACATATATTGTTTTTGCTGGTGAGTATAGTTCAGGCATCTACAATCATGTTGGCAAAGGCACTTACACTTAGACATAAGTGGTATCCTAAAATTTATAATGGCGTTTGAAACGATGTCTAAGTTTGTGCCTGTGGATCTAGATAATATAAAAGCCAAGAT